GGGTCGGTGCCAACGGCGCTCTTCTCTTCACATGCTTCTCCGGAACTTTATCCTTCGGCAACGGGACTCGGTTGGAAACGAGTTCCCCTTTTCTCTTTCTCAGCGATTCGGTCGGCAAGTATCCTGTCGGCCTGAGCAACTGTCTGAAATTATATGGCCCATTAATGTCTTCCGTGTCGTACTCGACCTTGGTGATCTCTTGTCGCTTCTCGATCACGGTGGGTCTCAGTAGCTGCCGGAGATTAGCAGCGATGTTGAACGTGTCTTCTTTCTGTAACTGCTTGCGATCCGTCAGCTTCTCGCTCGCTTCGCTCAGCCGGTTGATACCGTTCTTGTGATCCACGTTGCTTTGGTGGTTCATCACCGCATGACCGTTCTGTCTAGGACTCGACCGATCCGCTGTCTTCTCGGTACCGTTGGTAGTCACCGAGCCGTTGGTTAATTCGCTTGGCAGGCTCGAAATATTCACTTGGCTCTTTGCTACGCCACTATTTGCCTTGTGGGGTGTCTGGCGGTTGCCGTAACCGTTGACCGAGGTGTGGTGCTCGTTGATGGGATTATGGTAACCGTTAACGAGATTTTGTCCATTGGAAGTCGCTCTGTCGCTCTGTCGTTCGTTTGCGGCGTTATATCGATCATCGATCACGCTTCGTAGGCCAGCTGGATCGTAGATATGCGGAGAGTCAGGTTCACGTTGTTTAGTTGCTTGCGGTTGCACAGTATGCAGGTCATTAATCCTTGTACTGGAAAGAAATGAGTTATGATTCTCGTCGGATTGTTTCCTCGGCTGCCGGATCGTAAGTACGTCTGTTAACACATCGCAGACCGGGGATGCGAGCCGACGTCTTTGGTACCTAAAGCCTTATGCACCGGAAACATTTGATCTGTTCTTTTTAGCACTGCACTGCTGAACTGGTGTAATCAATTAGAGTGAGACAACTATATTTCTTCTCACTCTAATTTATTGCACCAATGCAGCTAAAAAGAACGGACACTTTAATTCACTCTTTTGAGGGGCCCGGAACGCATTTGCAAATTCTATTTCGTACTTTCTCAGAATGTTGTAATGAACATCACTCGCTGAGAGACATTCATTAACTGTTCATATATTCATCAATTTATTAATTGCGTGTTTCAAGTTTGAATGAAATGTTGCAGGGTGTCGCATAATACGCATTTACTACATTTACACAGCGCTGTTCCTCGTGAAAATTTTTCACAATTTCTCTTTAGCGAAGATGTCATTTTTACGACTTTTCAATTCTCAACATAATATATATCTTTAGCGCTAAACCTCAGATTAACCTGATCAAAGTTAACGAAATTGATGAAAGAAAATAATTATATTATTCATTTAATCACCCAAAGTTCAACTTGCAAAAATCATATTTTTTATATCACTTATATCTCGGGAAGTATCGTCGGGTATCAATTGCCGCTAAAAAATGGAAAATTTTCATAGAAGGATAAAGATAGCACTATGTAAATAGTGAGTTATACTCTGCGTATCCGGTCCACGGTGCGTTAATATTAATCAGCGCGAGCTACAAAGCTACACCACTACGAGGTACGTCGCAGTCATGGCGACCGCATAAATTTACCTGGAAATTTGCCATGATGCCTCTGGCAACGTATAAAACGATACAAATGCACAATTAGTCACTGGACTATCATTGAAACAAGACTCGGACGGTAAGTCCGATGAATAATAATTCGTCGAGATAACGACAACGCACGCGAGACTTCGCATGTCCGCCGGTACGCAGCGCGTTTCTCACCTGACGTTCTTCTTGGAGCTTTCGCTTTCGAGCTGTTCGTTCGGCTGTCTCAGGGCCTTGTGCCAGATCTCTGACAGATGTTTCTCCGGCGCCACCGCAAAGTCGCCCTGTGCTACACGATCCCTTCTTTCGGCATTTACTTCCAGAATCTGTCCACTTCGATTCCTACAACGAGGGTAATCTTGTTGTCATCGTCGAATCGAGTGGCATTTTCGCGTGGCATCGATGAAGCACAGCATCCAACGGCTAAAAAACTATTCTTGCGAATGAAGGTCTACATAATGTACGCGAAACAAGAAAAACAATGCGTCAACTGATAAGCTCGACGAAGCGTTCGCGTAAAATCAAATGTTTTCGCCGTGTTAGCACCCAAAGGTGTCATCTGCGAGGCCGATATGAAACTATAATATGCGATCTAAGGAGGAAACATATGTGGGAGAATGTCCCTCATCGATTTTGTTAGCCTTTAAATGTTTTCAGCAGCTAAAAATAAAAAACATATCTGTCTCATATACTTTCGTTTAAGGGTTGGAGCAACCCCTTAAAATTAAAATTCGATAAAATTGAATTTTGTCGTGATAAAAAAAAAGAACTTTGTAATTCCATATTTAAATGTTCCAAAAATGTTGTCGGGGTGTTGCGAGCATGCTACAAAATGACATTAAAAAAATTTGAATATTGAAATATTTAATAATAAATAATCAATAAAAAATCAATAATGAAAAACAATAAATAATTGATAATAAATAATAATAAATAATCTGAATCTCAGCATCAAATGCCATTAAACTTTCTCTCGTCTAAGATATTTTTTCACGTGCCTCACAGTTGAGAATTATTCGCTCGCGATCAATTTTATCGAATTTTCTTCGAGCGCTCGTTTCGGCCTCTAAACGTGCGAAATGTACACGCGTGAAACATGCGTGTCTACAACGTATCAGAAGCCCATCAAGATCGGCAAGCGATACTTTCGTAGGTTTCCTTGCAAGACAGACTTCCTCACAAAATAGCTCGCTCTTACGTGTCGCGGGAGTAGAAGAAACCGGGACACGTTCGCCAAACACTTTGTTTATATATGTATCGCGAGAGAAACGATAGAAACGGAATCGCAAATATTTTTTAGAGTGTAAGCACTTTCTTCTGAGTTTCATTTACGTTCGGAAAATATCACAGTTAAAGGAATACCAAAGTAGATGACGAACCTTAAATGCGTCAATAACGTTGAAGTGATCGTCCAAACGTTATTCCAAATGAGCACTCTCTTTTTATATAAAACACGATCGTGCTACTTTTTCGTGTATTTTTTATAAACCTCACATAGGTGTGCTACTCTGTTTATGGTGAAAAATTTAACTATGCGTATATAGAAATTCCTCCGCAAGCTTTCTGTACAAGGTTTGAAGCTCCTAAACTCAATTGCAAGGTACAGTAATATTTTTTGAATTTTTTTCTGAGTGTTCGGAGCAAACACTCTTTCGATATGTACAAGCTACAGAACATTTTTATCGGGCAAATTTTCATTTTAACTTAATATTTTTCGGTTTATCGCATATTTAGCAGTCCTGAACTTTACGGTAAACTTTACGGAAAAACATCAGTGTTCTGTGCGTAAAGTTTCCAAATATGTCCTGCCAAGTGAATTTTATTTACGGACACACCCCGGTCTCCTCTAAACGAGCATCGATATTAGCGCCATGCGAAGCTAGCTATTCAGATATAGAACTGGCCAGATTTCACGGTGTACCTCGACGATGAGTGGAGGTCATTTTCTAGACGTATCAACGGTAAGTCCCAGCCAACTTCGTCGTCTTCGAATTCCGAACCACTTGCGATGTGAGTGCCAGAAGCATTCGAAATTGAGCATTTGAATCTCTGTTCCTGGTACCCAACACTCTAGACTAAGGTGACGGACGATTGCTCGATTTATACATATCTACCTGCTCATTTCCTCCTTCAGGTCCCGGTAGTACTTGACGGTGTTGTCCTCTGGTTGTATACCACTGCGGTATTGCAGTATCGACTGTACCATGTTGAATCCTTCAGGACGCACGTAGTCAGGCGGTGGCTCCTCGATGTTACTTAATCTGATGCCGGGCTTGTTGCGACGTAGATTTTTGTGCACCTCCTGATTCTTCATGTGCACCTGGAGATGATAATGATGGATCGCGATAAATATTAAGTTCGACAAATTGGACAAACTGAAATAACTTAATTGGATCGACGGCACGACGGCCGACGGACATTGATATGGTTTCCGTGTGTAACACCAGGTAAAAGGATTATACGACGACCGTCTTATTTCAGAGTTAAGTCCAAATACATTTTTTTAACGATAAATATAAATGAAGCCTATAACAGCTTACACGACACGGGGAACAAAGATTGAGTGACGACGAACCGAATACGTTTTGCCAGAAAAACGGAACTTCTGGCTCTTATGAGCCCAACTCAGCTCGAAGGACCAGAAATTCAGGCCAATGTTTTATTTTTATTTATTAGTAAAATAAATAAATTTATTTATCTATTTTACTTGTGTGCGTTTATTTGTTAATCTTATCGTTTGCTATCTCTGAGAAGCCGTTATATTTTATGTATTTAATATTTTTCTATGTCTACATTTCATTCAGTCATTTGTCTACATTCCAACTGATAACACTCAGTTCAAAACCAACGGATGATTTTCACTTACATTCTGAGAGAACTGAATCAAGTCTGCTTGTCGCAACTTAGGATGTATTGGGTCCTTCGCGCTCGGTTTCCTCCTGACCACCTTCTCTTCCTTCTTGTACCATCTCTGCACGATAAGAGCAGCGTCGTCGTGCTTCAGTCCTTCGCGCAGTAACGCCTTGTGGCCGTCGTAGATGTCGTCGTAGTTGTTCAAGATTCTCTTGAAACGCTCCTCCAGTTCGTAGCCGAAACGTTTGCGGATGGTGTAACCGCGGAAATCTGTCAAGATTCCACTGTACGTATAAGAAACGTGTGGGAATGTCGACTGCAAGTACCGACTTGCGGCTTTTCGGTATACGTACGACTCTGTATGATGACCGCTGCGTCGTCCTTCTCCAGGTTCCTGCGTTCCTTTTGCGGCCTGACACGTTTATTTATATCGATGCTTTCCTGCGCTTTGAGTTTCGCCTCATCTATAAGATGGAATTGAATTAAACGAAATATAGTGCTCGAGCCAACAAGTCTTATCTTCGTCATATCTTTGATTACAGTAAATTGTACTAATTAATTATCAGTAGATAGAAGAGAGGGTAACATTGGTATTAATTCATCGGTGTCCACTGTGGGACACTTCTTTCTTATCGAATACAATTACTTGATCAATATGTAATTTCATTTTTACTTTTCATGTTGTTTCATGTTATTTTTATTATCTATGAAGATGAACAGACGGATCCTTTAATTTCAAATGTTTGTTGATAAGATAATTATGTTTATACCGCATTATTTTGTTAATAAAAGATACTTATGGCCTTTAACACGTTAAGCGTTACGCCAGTCCCTGCGGACCGGCGCTAAACTTTTTCTTCAGGCAACGTTGGTCCTTGAGGACTAATAGTATTAAAGTTAGAAAATAATACCTTATATCATTCATTCATAGGTTTTATTAAAACAGTTTAAATAAGGATACGGTTTTCTTCTACAAGCATTACAAAAAGTTACAACTTTCATCGTCAAATTTTTGGCCACTTTTCGACCAAATGTTTTTGTATTAGTTTTATAGGCAACAAATTTTTTAAAATAATCGAGAGATAGATATGCTTTATATTAGAAGTGTGATTTAGTTTTTGCAAGAAATGGCATAATGTCAGTTTTGTCAAAGAGATTCCAATCACAGCTGTTGTTTCTTAATGCTTTAATATTAATATTAAATGATATTTAGTCAGTTACTAACAGACGCAGTAAAAATCTTGTTATTACCATCTTAAAAATGGAGCTTGAAAAAAGAGCATTTTCGACAAGCGTGGCTTTTGTTTTTTAATCAAAAGAAAACGACAACTGCAGGTCGTAGACCTGCATAGTCGTCAGACCTGATAGAAACTTATGGTGATGTTGCTCTATTAATTAAGAATATTGGTTTAAACGATTCAAAAGTGGCGATTTCAATATTAACAATAAAGATCTCCCGGGACATTCAAGAAAGCTTGAAAATGCAGATTTGCAAGCATTATTGGACGAAAATTCAGCTTAATCCACTTGCGAACTTGTCAGAGCGTTAAATGTTGATCGTACAACAGGTACTAAACATACATGATATAGGAAAGATTCACAAAGAAGGAAAATGGGTTCCACATCAATCATCGGAAAGTGCCATTGAAAATCGGTTGAACATTTGCATCTCGTTAATGGCCAGACAAAAAATGAAGAGTCCTTTGTATCGAATTGTATTGTTACTGAGGATGAAAAATGGATCTATTTTGATAATCCCAAACGAAAAAAATCATAGTTCGATCGAGTTAAGTCAACCAGCGATATCCACTTCGAGGAGCAATATTTACGGTTCAAAGGTATTACTGTGTATTTGTATTGGTAGGGTCATGAAGGTGTTGTGTACTATAAACTGTTAAATCCGAATGAAACTATCACCGCTGATTATTATCGACAACAATTATACAAATTGAAGCGAGCATTAGACCAGAAACGATCACCAATTGCGAGTAAACGACGCAAAGTGATCCTTCCTCACGACAATACTCGATCTCATGTTGCATTATTAGCGACGCAAACGTTATTAGAGCTGGAAAGGAAAGTTTTACCGTATCCCGCATATTTTCCAGACATTGTTCCATCCGATTATCACTTGTTGCGGTCGATGCAACATGCTCTAGGGGATACACCCTTTCATACTTTTGAACAAGTGCGAAAATTTGTTGAAAATTGGATCAACTCCAAAGAAGAATCTTTTTATCATCGCGGAATCCATCTTTTGCCAGAAAGATTGAGAAAAGGTTGTAGAAAACGAGGGAAAATATTTTGATCAAGGTATTAATTTATTATTACTGTTTAAGTAAATCAGTTTTTGGAAAAGAAATCCTGGAAACTAAATTGCACTCCTAATAAAACGTAACTTTATTGCGGTTTTTGTCTAACTGACGGTTCGCTAGTCGATTTGGCGAGTTGGCATTCTTCCACCCTGCATTTCGTTATCTCTTGTTTATACTTTGTATGCTCACGCGCCACCTGAACGAAAAGTCGACCAGAATTGGCGTAGTGTTTAACGTATTAATGTATCAATGAAATAATCGACAATAAATAAGTAAATCGGCAAATAAACGATCAATTTTGGTGGACATTAAAACCTGAAGTGGAGCTTCAGCGCTCATCACTTGTGAAACATTATTATCCGTTCGTGAATTCAATCATCGCGCCTGAAATCTAAATCCTTGCTTTGTTCTCACATTTCCTTAAATCAAGTTATATTTGCTGTTGGAACGTTTGTTCGTTGTAAAGTTTGAAAATCGAGTTCACCCACCTCGTGCAATATTCAAGGAATTCTCCGCGCGTTTCCGAGTCAACATCTCTTCCGTGTGCTTTCGCGACAGCCATCCTCGAATGTGACGCTGCAACGTGACTACCGACACGGCGAATTGCCACTTTTGTTTCTTGAATCTCATCTTCGCGAGCCACCGGCGGACGCACGCCTGCACCATGATGATCTTTCGCAGCTGTTCCTCGTAGAGCTTCGAGAGAAATTCGACGTGGTAGTACTTGAGGAAGACTTTCGTCTTGCCTAACGCCCAGCCGTCCATCTTGAGGCGTACCAGAAGCAGTCGGCAGTTGTCGCGAGTGGCGACCACGCGTTCGTCGTAGCCAAAGGCGAGGAAACAGTATCTGTAATTACAATCGTATTCACGTAATCGCTAAGCAATAATTATAATTATAGTCCTTGCAATCGATAAGAGTTGCACGTGAAGCTTTCGGATCGATCGAAAAATTCGGTCCGATTTTTAATTTTCTCCTTGACGATAAACTATCCTTTGACAGAGATAGTACCATGAAGGATGACTCATGAATAAACCTGGCGATTGCATGATTGGTACGAATGATTGGCCTCTGTCGAATGCGATAAAAAGTCAAACTTGACTCGAAGAACGAGCTTTGCATCTTCCGTTGCAATCGTTCCGTCTCAGGCGTACCTTTTGAGGAACTCGTTGAACGGTATTCTGTGAGAAAATCCATTCTGCCTGATACGTATCGTCTCGAGGACGCCGGTGTACCTCAGCTGCTTGATGACCTTGTCCTTGTCGAAGTAGCGCGGGCTTCTCGAATCGTTCGGTTTGATGCATCGCACAAATTGAGGCGAGCCGGACACCATCTTCTGCAGCAAGTCCATCAGCGAATACCGGAAGTACGTCGCCACCGTTTGCTGAGCTCTGGACTGCGACGCCAAGCCGCGACTAGAGTAACGTTCCTGCGGGATATTGGCGCTCCATCATCGAGGTGTCGTGTCAAAATTGCATACGCACGCGCACGCGCACGCACACAAACCGATCTAGCGCACCTTCGTGTTCTGGTTCGAGTGCGATTTTCTCGAGTCGTTCTCCTGCAGCGCCGAGTACAGATTACCGGTCTTCGTGATCGGGCATTGGAACAGGAAACGGACCATGTCGTACTGCGACTGTCGCACCAGTTGAATGACCTCGGGAGGCAGAAAGTTTCTATTCTTCTCGAGAAAGCCCTCGGCCTGGTAGACCACGCGGCCGGCGAAGTGATGAATCGCGAAGCACACCGCATCCGACTTCGGTCGTACGTAGAATTTGGATTTAATGTTGTTGTGAAATTTCTCTGTCGGAGAAACCGCGAGCCGGTTGAAAACACGTAGATAACAGCGGCGTAGATGATCCCCTCGGCGGAAACGGTTCGGAAAGCTCGTTAAGCCCGCGCTCGATTGCGCACGGAGAGATAATTTTACGCCGCAAAAATTACTGTTGGATTCGGTAATCGACATCCTGCCTTGATCTATCGCTCTTCCGTTTTACACGTGCCATTTATGAAACTGACTTTACTTTGTTTCTGGAAAGTAGCTCGTTATCGTTACTCATTACCTGCTAAGGAAAGCAAATCGCTACCATTATCGTTACCGTCACACTTATTTTGACATGTAACTCGCTGTTATTATCGCTACGCGAAAAGTAACGAGTCGTTACAATTTCCGTTACTTTTTCACCAAGTTTTAAACTTAATAAGTATTATCTACTATTAAATAAATCTAGTATGCCTTCTTACTAAAAGGAAGAGGAAGAAAAAGAAATAAACTCTACCTACGGTCTAGTCCTTCATCCTAATCAAGTCACTTTTAGAAAAAAATAGAACAATATTGGAAAGTATTAGGAGGTTGAATTAGTTCTGGTCCCTAGCAATAGATGGTTTTAGTAACAAGGTTACTTAATGGTTAATACGAATGTTGAAATCTGGCAATATTAAAAAATATGACATTTCTCTATGATAGTTTGCGCGCTATTGTTACTGATAGTTTCATTGTTTACATGCGTCTAAAATGGATTGTACAAAATTATATTTTCGACATTCGTTACTTCTTTCGTTTGATTTGAAAAAATCGGCAATTGAAACTGATGAAGGTCTTGTTATAACTTATGGCGATCAAGCTCCATCGTATTCCAACTGTAAATTTTGGTTTCAACAATTCAAAAATAATGATTTTGATTTGAGTGACAAAGAACGTACTGGCCAATCAATTCGAGGATTCCGAATTGCAAGCATTACTAAATAAAAACACCGCTCAAACGGAAAAACAACTTAACATCGATAAATCAACAATTTTTAAACGCCTACACGCCACAGGAAAATTTCAAAAAGAAGACAAATGGGTTCCACATGAATTGAATAAAAGTGCCATTGCAAATCGTTTGAATATCTCCATGTCTTTGCTTGCCAGACAGAGAAAAGAGTTTTCTGTGGAGAATTGTAACTGGAAATGAAAAGTGGATTTATTTTGATAATCGAAAGCCAAAAAATCATAGGTTGATCCAGGATAACCATCAACATTGAACTAAAACGGAATATTCACAGTCACAAGGCAATGCTCTGTATTTGGTGGGATATGGAAGGTGTAGTGAGCTTCTAAAACTAAATGAAATAGTTACGGAAAAGCGATACCAGCAACAATTGAATGATGAATTGATATAGAAAGGCCAGCGATAGCCAGCAATAGACGCAAAGTGATTCTATTGCACGATAATGCTGGTCCACATGTTGCTTCAATCGTTAAACAAACATTGTTAGAACTTGAATGGGAAATCCTTCCGCATCCAGCGGAATGCTCTCCAGACCTAGCATCACCTGATTACCATCTATTCCGATCGATGCAACACGCTTCGGCAGATACACACTCTAATAATTACGAGGTTGTGCAAAAATGGGTGTCTGATTGAATTGCTTCGAAAGACAGATCGTTCTATCGTCGTGGAATCGCTATGTTGCCAGAAAGATGGGAAAAAGTCACGGCTAACGACGGAAAATATTTTGATTGATGTAAATTTAACCATTTCTTTAAAACAAACATAAAAAGATTGACAAAATAGGACCAGAATTAATTCAACCTCTTAATATAACCTTCAATCCCCAACATTCAGTTTGACACGGGCTTTGCCGTATCTCCGCAAAAACGATTTTCACATCGCGGGAGATAGCTCGCGAAATCATTTCCGCCCCGGGGCGCAGCGGCGGCGGAACGGGAGAATACACGTTCGCGGGATGACGCGTGTGGAATGCTCACCGATCAGAGATCGATTGGTCGCTCTGGGGAACCGACTCTCCTCGTCGAGAAGCGCCAGGAGTCCCATGGGCTTGCTGAGCAACATGTCGAGCACCGGTCGGTTGTCGGAGAACTCGACCAGGTCCACGGGTATCCCCTCGGCCATGTACTCCTGTTGTTCCCAAGTGAAGATATGCTGATTAAAGTAGTACTGTATTTGCTCGTTAGCTATGTTGATACAGAGCTGCTCGAATGAGTTCCTCGGGAAGTTCTCAAAGCCGAAGATGTCGAGCAACCCGATCGCCAGCGGCTCGTAATTCGGCGAGCGGTTGAAGCACAGCAAACAATTGATCTGGTTGACCATCCAATCGAACAGTCGACCGTAGAGACCCTTCGCCATGGCGTCGCGCGCCGTACGGGCTTCGGCCACTGTATTGTTCCGTGTAATTGTTTCGCCTCTGGTCATGACCGAGTTTGACGTCAGAGCCTCCAGCAGATCGTTCTGTTCGACGCCGAGTAGTTTCGAAACTGAAAGTGGAGAACGGCTTTGATTACGGACATACGCGATTGACGATAACGTTTTCGTGTGAATTTGCTCGCTCAAGGGAATTTTACTCGTTGAGAGTTAGCTGTTGATCCTTGCCGATACTATCCGTCGGGGGTTAATTAGACCCAATTTTAGTATTCTTTTGTCTGTTCGAACGGTCAAAATTTGGCACGGAAAAGTAATTTGCAAGAATTGACGTCTCGTGACTTTTATTCTTTCTTAGACGTCTTGCAAAGAAAAAATTTAGTTAGTTTTTTTAATAGGGTAAATCAATCTTCGGTGTTCATCAGGGTTACTTCAATCCAATTTTAGTTTCTGGGTTGTTTCTTGTCCAACTAATAATGGTCTTAATCATGAAGAGGAAAGTGAAAAGAAGCTTAACCTGAATTTGAAATTCAATAAAAGACGGTGATATTCCAAGAATAATACTGTCAGAGTTGACGAGCCGGTGATGATAGGTATTGACAGGATAAGTCACATTCATGGAGAAACGAACGGCTCTCACCTGTTTGCAACGGAGCGGTGTTGATGACTCGGCTCTTATTGTCGGTGTTGTCCTCGGTCGCCACCTCGGCGAATTCGATGTCACCCAGATGCAGTATAGCGGCCAACACTCGATACACCGTGTCCACCTCGCTGTCCTGAAACCCAAGCACCTTGAAACCCACCTTAAGCTGCTGAAACTTGTCGATGTGGGTCTGCGACGTGTGCTTATGGTGTGAGAGGTATCGATGAAACCTTCGAAGCATGGAGTCGAGGTAAAATTCCGAGAGACGATCATCCGCCTCTAGGCCATCGTACATGTAATGGAAAATGTGAAAGTTCCTCTCGCCCCTGCGAAAATTGTAGAACTGATCGATCGCTATTCGGCTGATTGGTCGATTGGGACTCTTAAGTATCGCATGCTTGCAAAAATTTGTCGGACTTTTAATCTCTCCTTCGACCATAGTAAGCAAAAGTTTTATTATTATTATTGTTGTTTTCTGTAATGTTTTTATTTGTTAAGTACGCCATATTTAGTAAAAGCATCTGTTATTGTTATCCGCCATCTTTCTGCTGTCTTTCAGGTAATTTTTCGCACTGACAGGTGGCTTATTTTGAGTTTCGTCACATCATGAAGGATCCGACAAACTTTCGCGAATCCCTTATATTCGCGAATTTGAGAAAGTAAAACGTACTCGGCTTGAGCGACCACTCGGGACTGCTCCAACAGGTATACTGAGATCCGCGCACCGGTCACTTTTCCGGCCTTTGTCATCGTTAAATCCAAGTACTTGCCGAATCTGGAAGAGTTGGCGTTGATACCAGTCGTAGCGTTGCCGAACGCCTCCATTATAGGATTGATCTGAAGTATCCTCTCCTCCAGGTTGCGATTCGGCGCCTTGCTGAGATACACGAGCTGCTTCAGTAGCAGATTCGCGCTCTCCGTCTTGCCGGCTCCCGACTCGCCGCTGATAACGATCGCTTGGTTCTGACGTTGATGAAGCAAAGCTTGATAAGCTGCGTCGGCGACCGCAAATATGTGCGGAGGATTATCCGATCTTGCTTGTCCCTTGTATCGTTTTTGCTCCTGGAAGGATAAATTGTTGCTGCTAATGGAAATCGTTATCTTGGGTTTTTTTAGTCGCCAAATGCGAACTTTGTATTTGTATTAGGAGGTTAAATTAGTTCTGATCCTTAGCAGTAGTTGACTTTAGTAACAGGTTAATGCTTAGTACGAATGTTGAAATCTGGCAACACTGAAGGGTTAGATATTTCTCCATGACAGTTTGCTATTGTTACTGATAATTTCATTGTTTGTACGCGTCTAAAGTGGATCGTACAAAATTGCATCTTCAACATTCATTACTTTTTATGCTTGATTTGAAAAAATCGGTAATTGAAGCTCATGAAATGTTTGTTACAACTTATGGTGATCAAGCTCCATCGTATTCCAACTGTAAATTTTGGTTTCAACAATTCAAAAATGGTAATTTTGATTTGAGTGACAAAGAACGTGGTGGAACTGGTCAATCAAAAAGATTCGAAGAATCCGAATTGCAAGCATTACTGAATAAAAACACCGCTCAAACGGGAAAACAATTGGCCGAACAACTCAACGTCGATAAATCAACAATTTCTAAACGCCTACACGCCATGGAAAAAATTTAAAAGGAAGGCAAATGGGTTCCGCACGAATCGAGTGAAAGTGCCATTGCAAATCGTTTGAATATCGTCATGTCTTCGCTTGCCAGACAGGAAAAAGAGGTTTTGTAGCGAATTGTAACTGAAAATGAAAAGTGGATTTATTTTGATAATCGAAAGCGAAAAAAATCATAGGTTGATCCAGAACAACCATCAACATCGGCAGCAAAACGGAACATTCATGGTCACAAAGCAATGCTCTGTATTTGGTGGGATATGAAAGGTGTAGTATACCATGAGCTTTTAAAACCGAATGAAACAGTGGCAGCGATACCAACAACAATTGAATGATGCAAAATTGCTGTCAAAAGGCTAGCGATAGCCAGCAATAGACGCAAAGTGATTCTATTGCACGATAATGCTCGTCCACATGTTGCTTCAATCGTTAAACAAACATTGTTAGAGCTCGAAAGGGAAATGTTTCCGCACCCAGCGTACTCTGCAGACTTAGCACCATCTGATTACCATCTATTCCGATCGATGCAACACGCTTCGGCAGATACACACTCTAATAATTACGAGGATGTGCAAAAATGGGTGTCTGATTGAATCGCTTCGAAAGACAGATCGTTCTATCACCGCGGAATCGCTATGTTGTCAGAAAGATAGGAAAAAGTCACAGCTAACGACGGAAAATATTTTGATTCATGTAAATTTAACCATTTCTTTAAGATAAAAATAAAAACTTGACAAAATAGGATCAGAATTAATTCAACTTCCTAATAAATTGTATGCTTTGAGAATTAGTATAGTAGTTTGAGGTAATTTCGGTATTATTTCGGCTAAGCAAATATACAGCAAATTTATTGCTGCGAAGGACATCACATTCAAAATTTTCGAACTCTCCCTCCTTAAGTAAAAATATTCATTCGACATTAAATTCAATTTTCCATTTTACACGAGTAAGAAAATCATTTAGAATCGCACGACTCAGCTGTCACTGTACTTTCTAATTTTTATATTTTCACTTTCTGGAATTTCATTCGATGGAATTTGGAAAGTGTGTAACCCTAAAATTGAGCCCGTTCAGGTGAATTTGAGCCAGCTCGGCTAATCTCTTTTTATGCTGTAAAGTTATACTCACGATGCCGGTATACAAGCCAAGATTAGTGAAGGGATTCACTGCGACGAGTATGTCGCCGATGTACGTGTAGATCTGCGTTTGCTCGTATCGGTGCTGCAATTGCTCGACGATTGCCTCTTCCGATAGCATGTCGAGCGCCGCCAGATCGTCCATGTACATCTTTTCGGCCCTGGTCTTGCGGTCCGTTTTCAATTTGCCGTGCTTAGTGGTCACTTCCGGCTGTCGGTGAACGCGACCCTCCGCTCTCTGCCTGCGGATCTCCTCCCTCAGCTGTTCTCTGATCCTCTCCACTCGCGGCTCTACATTCGTCAGCAAGGGGTGCTCCCTCAGCTCGCTGGCAAACGGCCGATGCTCGAGATCCTTCACCAAGCACTCGGCTATGAAGTCCGTCAATTCCGGCGAGTATATTTCTGGGGTCTTCAGCGAAGGCGGTGGGTTGCGGGGGATTTGAAAGAGCGCACGCATGGGATGCAACTCCGACAAGGGTGGGTCACCCTCGGCTAATTCGATGGCGGTGATACCGACCGACCAGACGTCGCAGCGTGAGTCGTACGACGAGTCCAATTGCTGTTCACAGGCTATTACCTGGTTTCCCGCACAAATGAGAGATGTAATTTGAGCTTTCGACATCGTGAGAGGTGAAACGGTTTGATATTAAAGCTTGCAAAAGCAATCATCGGGGAGAGCTGGTGGTAATGTACAGGGTGCCCTATTTTAAAGTTTCCACTAAAATATTTCTTTAAAAAAGCACTTAAGAAAAGAAGTTGCTTAGTTTGAAGGAGGACATAAAGCAGCGATATCATTTTGTTTATAGATGGCGCCACTTTCGAGATATTCACTGATCATCAATTTTCTTGAATGAAAATCCCAATTTTTTATTATATTATCTTCTTCTATCAATTAATTTGAACAACTTTTGTTTGAAATAATTTTTTATTTGACTAATATTTTTTGCGATATTTAAAGAAAACTTGATAACTTTTTCAACATTTAACTTACGATATCTCGTTAATTATTTGTCGAAAGAAAAAATAGTACTAGACTTTTTTACTTTACTTAGTCTCAAAAATATATTGCTGCAATAGTGCCCTAACTTTTGTTAACTTATCAACCTTTGGAAGTTTCAAAATTATCAAATGAACAAAAGTCAGGGAGCTATTATAACAATATATTTTTAACATCAAATAGAGTCATCAATAGTAACATCAAAAAAAGTCTAGTACCACTTTTTCTCCCTACAAATAGCGAGATATCATAAGTTGAATGTTAAAAAAGTTACCAAGTTTTCCTTAAATATCTCAAAAAATATTAGGCAAATAAAAAAATGTTTCAAACAAAGATTGTTCAAATTAATTGGTAAAAAAAGATGATATAATAAAAAATTAAAATTTCCATTTAAGAAAATTAATGATCAGTGAATATCTCGAAAGTGGCACCATCTGTAAGCAAAATAATATCACTGTTTTATGTGCCCTTTCAAACCCAGCAACTTTTGTCTGAAACATTTTTTTCTTAAATGCTTTTCTAAGAAGATATTTTAGTGGAAACTTGAAAATGGAACACCCTGTATATAAATAATTTCTTGCGCTCGATTCTTATAAGCTTCTTTATTTTCTTCTCCGAATAAATGATTCAAAAACCTTTTGTCTTTCTAACTACAAAAGTAAAACTATATATTAGAAGTGTGATTTAGTTTAGTGGATTTTGTACGAAATGGTACTAATGTCAATTTTGTCGAAGACATTTCAATCACATTGTTTTTTAATGCTTTAATATTAATATTAAATGATATTTAGTCATTTACTAACAATAGATGCAAACTTTTGCAAGCTCTTAATATATCGAGACTGTCCGTAATTTCGAAACGATCTGCTCGATCCGGAAATACTTGATTTAGATTGAAAATTGGTGTTCGAGTTGGGAATTGCCCAATGAGGATTGAGGGGATATTTGATTTCCACAGTACCTTAATTATTCTATCTACGATTTTCTCGCTTTTGAAGACAACAAGTGGCTCGAGCCAAAATTACCTCCGGCGCCATCCAATACGGCGTACCGACAGACGTGTTCTTCCTGGCAAGCGTTGCGGCCAAGTGCGAGGACACGCCGAAATCGACCAATTTGACGCGCGCCTCTTCCGTTAGCAGGATATTGTGACCTTTCACATCGCGGTGCATGCAATGATTACTGTGCAAGAAGATGAGAGCCTCGACGGTCTCCTTCAAGATGTAAGCTATCTGGTCGTCCGTTAAGCGGCTGCAGCGTTTTTTGAGACCCTGCACGAGATCGGTCACGGAGCCTCCGGTGCACAACTGGAACCGGAGCAATAAACTTTTTATACACCTCGACTGCGTTCCTTCTCTGGAAGACTGAGGAATTAATCTACAGGAACCATACGACTGTTGTACGGGGAAGAAAACTCAGTTAGCGTAAAACTGAACTTTCTGCTGCCTGCGGGTCTATCCTGTAATTTTGCAACGACACTATCGTTAACTTTTAACGACGCTGTCGTTCAAAATTGCATAATAACAGGCTTGCAAGGGGCCAAAGGGGGGCACACCCGGTTGTAGAAACGGAGTGTGATTTCTGAAGAAGGTTCTGCTCGGTCAACTATTCTCAGTGATCTCAATCGAACTTCGACATAATCGAACGTTCAAACAAACCTTTCCAATTATGGAAAGGGTTTCGTTTTCGTCTAGTCACCATTCAGTTACATAAGACTTTTTCCGCGCGCTACGAAGAACCGACTGTTTTTACTTTCTCTTTCGCCGGAAATACATTTCGCACGAATTTCCACTCCATCCGTCCGCTGAAATCTGTTTTGCTGTGAAATTATCGCAATGACGGTACCTCCATCACAAACCATAATTGATCCTCCTCCTGGCCGGGCCTGGCACGTTTCAGAAATAAACTATGGAAGAGGGGAATATTCGGGTGTAGACTCAAGTCCCTCAGCACCAGGTACTCCTCCTCAATCTCCTCGATGTTATCAGCGACATTCTCCAGTATTTTGATGGCCACCTTGTTATTGGTTTCTTTGTCGCAAGCGGCGTACACTTCTCCGTACGTGCCCTCGCCAATTAGTTCCTCCAACTGAAAACGCCCGCCTGGATCCGGTATTATGTCGAAGTTAACGTGTTGACTCAGGCCATGGTACGCCATGTTGGTCCCGTCTCCGGTCATTTCTGCAAATACAGCAAATAATTTTTTAAGTATAGAAAATAAAATCTATATGAAAAAATGATAATTATGCAGAGATAAGGACCACCTTTCGATTTCAATGATATTGAAATATTTTATCAAGGTCATTACCCTGAGTAATATTATGAAAGTTTTAACTTGCGCTCACTGTTTATTACAAAGTTATTAATAAAAAAATTTTTCTAAATTAAATGTAATTTTTGATTTCCAATCTGCAATTATATGGTGGATAAGGAATGATCTAATTTACAATCATATGGTGGTTATTGTGTCTAGTGATAAATATGAGTATATTGAACTTTGAACCCTAAATCTTGAACCTATATAATTACCAAAAAAAAATATATTTATATATAGGATATCCTAGACCACCCGTGCCACCCGATTTGTTGCAAACGCGACATTTTAGAGAAAAATGTTTTAGACAAAAGTTGTACAGTTTCAAAGGGGACATAAAACAACTATATCATTTTGTTTATTTGCTTCGATGGTTTTCAAGATATTCAGTGCTTTATCATGCTGTGATCATTACTTTTCTTAAGTGGAAATCCCAATTTTTTATTATATCAACTTTTTCTACCAATTAATTTGGACATCTTTAAAGAAAATTTTAACTTTTCCAACATTTAACTTACGATATCTCGCTATTTGTCGGAAGTAAAAGTAGTGCTAGACTTTTTTACTCTGATGTTAAAAATATATTGTTACAATAGCGCCCTGACTTTTGTTAATTTGATAATTTTGAAATTTCCAAAGATTGATAAGTTAACAAAAGTTAGGGCGCTATTGTAGCAATATATTTTTGAGACTAAATAGAGTAAAAAGTCTAGTACCACTTTTTCTTCTAGCAAATAGTTAGCAAGATATCGTAAGTTAAATGTTGAAAAGGTTATCAAGTTTACCTTAAATATCGAAAAAAATGTTAGGCAAATAAAAAAAATGATACAGACAAAAATTGTTCAAATTAATTGGTAGAAAAAATAATGTAATAAAAAATTGAGATTTCTATTTAAGAAAATTGATGATCAGTGAATATCTCGAAAATGACGTTATTTATAAACAAAATGCTATCGCTGTCTTATGTCCCCTTTGAAATCAAACAACTTTTGTCTGAAACATTTTTCTCTAAAGTGTCGCGTTTATAAAAATATCAGGTGACAGGGGTGGTATGGGACACCCTGTATAGACTACACAATAATGAAACATTTATAAACTAATGCTATATAATATCAATGTAGGCTATGTATGTTACAATAATATTATCAATATATTATTAATTTTATTATCAATTATGCTTTATATAATTATTATGTTGTACACTTATTACTTGTTAATTATTAAAATATATTATTATTGATATATATTGACATATGTATCACTCTATATGTAAAACGAACAGACAGTCGACAGACAGTTTAATTTCTCGGACCTACTTTCGAGATGGAAGTGCGTCGGGGCACGAAAAAAACATTTTAATTCGTACTTGCACTCTTCGTGACTGCGTCGAAATCATCGACCGTGCGATTAATTAAGCGGTTGATGTTTTCATTGATATGAAAGTCAGCGCTGTGCGCTGAGGAATCTATCCTGTCGAGAAATATATCAAATTGTGCAGTCTGCGGTAAAACGGTACAGTCCGCGATTATGACAACCGTGGGAACAATTTTCACCTCGCTTGAAGCTCATCAAAATGGAGAAGCGTGGCGATCAAGTTGCAAACTTATCGCTTATATCACATGAATCGCACACGATCGTTCGTTCGTTTTGCGAAGATTATTTTCCATCCTCGCGAGAGACAAATGTCAACTTCGCATGTTTTCGTCGCGTGTTTCTTAATCTAGTAACGAGCTTTTTGACACCGAGCGACGGTTCTCATATCTTTCTCGCAGCGCGGACGTGCGTCCCGAGCAATGTCTCGACTTTAACGACGGAAGTCCTAAAACTCCATTGAACGAAGCCATACGAGGATCGAAGCCAGCCACGGCTTTTTGTCGTGCGTAACTCCGCGCGCGCGATCATAAGCCGCAAAAAAATAAACCTTGAACCCACGAGAACTGCGTCCTTCTTCCTCGCGCGCGCACGTACGCGCGTGTGAGAACTTCTCACTGCTCTTCTCTCATTCTGTTTCTTTTCTTTCTCTCCCGAAGTGGATGACAAAAATTATTTCGCAACGACTCACGGCTGCTTCGACGCCTCTCTCGCTGGCGCCCGACCACTCGGATACTCTCTCGATTATCTTGCAGGAATTGAGTTTGCTCGATGCTCGTTCGAGCATATCGGCGAAAGGATTTCTCTCGGGGTGCCTCCGACTCCTGCCTCGCTAATTTCCAACGCGCTTAATTTCGCTATGCAAATTGGATTCGTAGCGTGACCGACCAGAATGAGCCTTAATTAAGTGCCAGCCGGTTAGGTTAATAATTACGAGTACTGCAAATCATAATCGACTAACAAACGCGATTAGGTCGCCGAATAAAGGCAAGGCATGGAGGAGACTCGAAGACTCGGCAGACGACAGTTGCGCCTCGTAGAATACCTTCGACGGATACGATTGCCGTTCTCGAGTAACGAGCGAGCGCGCGAGTACTGCGTACGGCGTACGATGTGCTTCGCGTTATTCTTGTTAAACAACTTTCTCGTCGTCGCAGGATTTCTGCACGCTGAATATGCGCGCGTTAATTACGGCCGCGCCGCGCAAAAAATTGTGGGAATTGTGTCAAAGTCGCCGTCTATTAATCGTCCGCACGTGCGCGGCGTATAATTATAACGATCGTTACTGGAACCCCGAGCGAGCGGACGAGATTGCGAGTAAATGCGTGTACCGTAGCAACGGTTTACACGCAAAAGTTGACGCTCGTGGTTGGATAGACCGCGCGCGGCGCTAAAAACAATACGCGCGGCCGCAAACACGCGTTTGTCGCGTTGAGGAACATGAAATTCTCGAGCGCGCGTCTCTCCGAGCGACTTGGCGCTTAAAACGCTTATTTTTCGCATCGCTGGTCCTTTAGGAAATCCTAGTTTGTTAGGATCGAATTGGTTAGCGGTAAAAAATGTGGCTCATTACTTTCTTTCAGAAGCAGGTGAGGGGAAGGGAGGCAAGTAGGTGGATTTATTTCAGGTGCTCTGAGAAAATTTCTTCGCGGGCGCGTTTAAGCTAGTAAAAGCTAGTAAAAGACAAAGCAAGCAATATGTTTACACGTGGCAATAATGGCAAGTGATGGTAATGACAGACAGCAGTAATAAGCAATATATATAGGGTGACACCGAAAAAGGTGGCCAAACTTCGGTACCGTATTCTACTCTTCCCAAGGATGAAGAAAGATCATATAAACATAAGATATATAACGTAAAGATCATATAAACATAGATCCGGAAACTCTTCCTTTCCCAGATATAAACACTTTTCTGTTTATGATTGAGTATTTTAGGAATGTTTAAAGTTTATTTAACACTAGAAAGACCGAGGCAGCCAATTTGGCTCCTCGCGAAATTCAAACTATTAGGTGCGCAACTAAGTTCTCGCTGTTTTTTGATGAAAATGCAACTTTATTGTGAAAAAATGGTTACAAATGAATCATTCAAAATATTGTCCATCGCTAGCGACAACTTTTTCCCATCTTTCTGGCAGAGCTCGAATACCGTCACGGTAGAAGTGTTCGTCTTTTGAAGCTATCCACGAATCAAGCCATTTTGAGATGTCTTCATATGAGCGGAACTGCTGATTAGCCAGACCATGTGCCATCGAACGGAACAAGTAATAATCGGACGGCGCAATATCTGGGGAATATGGCGGGTGGGGTAGGACTTCCCATTTGAGCGTTTCTAAGTAGGTTTTAACGGGTTTGGCAACGTGAGGCCGAGCGTTGTCATGCTGTAGAATCACTTTTTCGTGCCTCTGCTCGTATTGTGGCCGCTTTTCGCGCAGTGCTCGGCTCAATCGCATCAATTGAGTTCGATACCGTTCCCCAGTGATGGTTTCGTTCGGTTTCAACAGCTCATAATAAATAACACCGTCCTGGTCCCACCAAATACACAGCAAAACCTTCGCAGCGTGAATATTCGGCCGAGCCGACGACGTAGAAGCATGACCGGGCAGTCCCCATGATTTTGTTCTCTTTGGGTTGCTGTAATGAATCCATTTTTCATCACCCGTAACGATGCGATGAAGAAAACCCTTCCTTTTTTGCCGCTGGAGCAGTTGTTCACAGGCGAAAAAACGACGCTCAACGTCTCTTGGCTTCAAATCATAAGGAACCCAAGTTCCTTGTTTTTGAATCATTCCCAACGCATGCAATCGCTTGGAAATGGCTTGGCGGGTAACTCCTAATGCTGAAGCAAGCTCTTTTTGCGTTTGGCACGGATCCTCATCGAGCATATACATATATATAACTTTTATCTGAATCATTTTTTTTCAAATGCTTAGTTTTCGAGATATTTCGCCGTCCCTGTACTTTTTATACACCTTACATAATTATAAAATGTTATTATTAAATGTATTTAAGCAGTCTTGATTGAGAGAAACAAATATAGATGGATAAATGCATTTATTATCACTCTGGAGTTTACTCTTTAAGAAATCCGCGTGTGGCAAGAAGAAAATATGCAGAACAAAATATTATTGTAGAAGAAAGGAAGACAAATTATTTGTATAAGCGGGTAAAACGACGGAAATGAAATAGAATCTTAATAAGTAAGTATAACTATAATAAGAATAAGATGTTGGCTACCTGCATGGGAGAAAAAAAAAGAGAAAAAGAGAGATGGTATTTCCTTGTGGAATATCATCGAAAAACATTCAGCGCGCTACGAGCAAGTACGGCTGTATAAAATAATATGCAATATCGCAGACATTAACATTCGAAGCGAAAGTAGTGAAACTTGGCTGCTGGGTCGGTTATAATAAATAATTATTATCCCATGAAGCAAAGCGTTCTAACGTGACGTCCCGCGAAATTCGCCGAGGAGCCGACGGCGAAGTGCCGTTTCG